CCCTTGCGTGTTTTCCAATAGGTTTGTCTTCAAAAAATATGGTAAGGTAAATTGGTCAGCCGGAAGGGAGGATATCTGCTTGGCAAAGCAGCAGTGGAAGAAAACTAAAAGAAAACGGTCTGAAACGCGCTGTTTCTATCGTTGATTTCTGCGCTGGGCGAGTTTTATCGGCGCTGACGTCATCAACGTGAACGCTCTGCTCTGCCTCTCTGCCAAAACGACTAGAGTCCGATGGCGAGGCACCAGCGGATAGAGTAGCTAATCGGTGGGCGTGGATTGCCACGAAGGGGACTCACCGCCCTTCGATGAATTTCGGAATTTTGTAAAATTGTCTAGGTTCGTTGTGCTCAGTAAGTCTGTGGTATCATAAAAAAAATATTGATATTTAGACCTTGTGGTGGTTGACAGCTGTCAGATATGACTGGTTGTCTTTGTATGAGACGCGGTGGCAAATGCCGCTGATTATGATTTTGGGAGCTCTTGTCGCAGGTGACAACATTTTGCATTTGTTTTCAAGGCCTGTTGTACCACGCACTTTTAGGGATGACTTCCGAAGGAGGAGGAGCCGTAGCGTTTCCATTCATGACACTTGGACTCCACATTGATCCGATCACAGCCAGAGATTTTTCGTTACTCATGCAGTCAGTAGGTGAGGTTCATAGGAAGGAGAAAAAATTCCTGGAAGCATCAAAATGAAGAAATTAGCCTTTTTCTTCATGAGCTGTACATGATGGGAATAAAGGTACTGGGCTGACCTGATGTACTGACCAAACGCCTTGCCTCACCCGAGGCTCGAACCCTAAACTTCCTACTTACCGTATTACACCACAGTGTGGCCACATGCTCCCCTCGCGCTTCCACCTCATCTGCTCGCTACGGAATTAATTTTACATATGTGAGCTAGTTTGTGCGTCGGTGAGAGCCCAGAGCACCCTTGAGGGACTCGAAGGTGACCCGATTATGCCTGTACACGGCCTCATTTTGATTCCACATACTTACCTACAAATGAATAAATGAAAAACATACTTCTGATATTTCTTCGTTCGCGTCATTAATGTACTTTGTGCATTAATGTTTTATAGCTCGGCGAGCGCGGGATAACTAATGCCTACTATTGTAGCATTAAAGGAAGGGATTCACGAAATGACATGCAAGGTCGAATAAATGAAACTGACCTAGTTGAGGGACCCACGGACCTCCTGAGGGTGCGAACTGACGCGCAATTCGCATGGAAAAATTTGACCTCGGCGACCTATCATGCCTCAAAGCTGGCGGGTCCGGCGATCTCCGCCCACCGATCATCTGATCACTCGCCGTAGTTCAATACGTGGCGAGTGATTAGATAGCTGAGAGAGCGTAGTGTTGAAGAGTCGCATCAATGCTCGAATCAACGGGCAAGGAAGGGGTCCATTTCTCGGGTTCTGGGCCGTTTCTCATGGTTCTTCCTTCTTTCGTGTACCACTCACCATCCCTAGGTTAATTTGAAATGGGTTGCTTTTCATCGTGAATTCGTCCTTTAATGTTATAGCTCGGCGAGCGCAAGCGGGGGTGACGGTTACATAGAGGACTGTGCTTACAAGGCGAGTGGAGGCTTTTGAGTCACTGGTTCTGATACGAACTTTGTAGTCTCATAGAAGGGTCGTGATTCTGCAAGGCAAAGGAATAAAGGCTAGATGTTGTTTGCGATTTGAATTTTTAAATTTTAGATTTGTCTCTCTATCAGTGCCGCATGCTCCTCCAACCCGGGTGTCCCCCAAGAGGCCCGTCGCGCGGCGAAGGAAGAGACGCAGATGCGGCAAAGGACGAGTCGCAGCGCGTGCTGTGCGATATGAGACGTAGTATGGTACACTCTATTTAACCTGACGCCTAACCGCTACAGTATGCGCTGCGACTCGTCCTTTGCCGCGTCTGCGTCTCTTCCTTCGCCGCGCGACGGGCCTCTTGGGGGACACCCGGTGAAACCACAGTCGAGCAAACTTTCCGTCAGCATAAGAAGTAGAGCGATAGGGTTGTGTACTTGAAATCAGCCCTAGGCCATGTGTGACCCTGGACTTGGCTCAATTCGAATTTAGCGACTTTTATGAATATGCTCACTCTCTTAGATGGTAGCTCTGATAGTTTTAAGGGGCTGTGTCCTTCTACTTCTTTCCAATGGGGGACCTATTTTTAAAGTGAATAAACGATCGGAGTCTCTTCGCGAAATCACTCGTTCACAACTGGCAAAATTAGAAAAACCAGAGAAAATAAATGCGTCATCTGTTTAGTTTGAAATATTGATTTTTCTATTTAGGAATGATGTGCGCTATGTTTGTCATTATGTTTATGCGGGTACAAATCGAACAGCGAGCCGTGCTGTTTGGGACGATTGGCTCTATTCCTGGTCTCATAATTGGGTTTAAATATGTGAGTAATCCTATAGCTAGTAATAAAGTAAGTAATCTTAACTAAATGCAGCAAATGGTGTAGTGGCAAGTGGCACGCTTACCACGCGAGCGGTCCGGGGATCAAATCCTGGGTCGCCCGGGCCAACCAAGCCTTCCATCCCTCCGGGGTCGGTTAATTGGTACCAGACTTGTCTGGGAGGATAAAAACACTGACTTGTACATCGGCTGGCCCCCGCAAGTCATTGTATAGGCCACATCGCATTCAAACGCCACTACGAATGTACAAATGGAAGTAGAATGCGTGCCGCATCCCAAAAAGGGATTGATCAACGGCAAATGCTTTATCCTTTATCCTTTATGTAGTTAGGATGTAAATTGCTGTTTATATTTTCAAACGACTCCCTGAACGAAATTTGGATTGCAGCAGCTCACTCGGAAAATTGCCTCCATAACTGAAGGAAAACCGAGTTCTGTTCAGCAATTCGAACAATTCGTTGTACACTTTCTCGGGAAGACTTAAATTGTTGAGATTCATACGTCCCCTTATCATATCAATGCTGAATGTAAACCTTCTTAACGGTGGGTAGTCGTTGGTGGAAGAGCGGGTTCGGGCGCAGTAAACGTTCCTAGAGCTGTAGTACCCTTGTCACGCACTATCAACACGTGAGATTGACGCACTTTTATTAATGTTCCACTCAGTTGGCTGTGGAACGTTCCATCAAAATCTGAGCCCGAAGCCTGAAAACTTATGGAAAACAGTGTTTATAAAGAACCTTTACGAGGGAGGTCTTTGAGGTTGTGGAGCGTTTTTTCGAAAGAGTTTTCTGCTTTGAAGGGAACACATCCGTGGCCTTCAAAACCTAGGTCCATTTTTTGCTTAGCGGCCCCTTGAACGCCTCAAAAGTTGTGAGAAGGTGGTTCGAGGTTCATCAAATTTTCACATTTTCGGCCGGAGCTTCAACTTTGCTTTTTTGGAAAGGAAAGGAGGAAACTCTGGAAGCTAGGTGTCATGTCATCAGCAAGACCGGGTACTGCTGTCTAGAAGTTCTATATAACACTCTAACGCTGTGGAATCACCTATTCCAAAAATTTTTTCGATCTTCTCTTAGTCTTCAGTAAATCGCTCGGCGGAAATAAGCCTTAGTTTTAGAGTCCAGATGAGAGCTCCTACAATATCCTGAAAACCGTTTAGAAAAGAGCGCTGCACACCCTGAAAGACCCCTTTGTTGGTTGCCGACTATCAATGCAGTTATTTGGCATCGGAGTGGTCCCCTTAAAGGCAAACTCCGGGATTAGCCCGACTTGTGGGAAGGATACCGCGAGGGAAATTGTAAGGTCCCTACCTACCTACCTAGATCACTCCAGCTTCGCCGCAAAAGTTGCGCGGTTAGGGCGCTAATCCTTACGGGCCTGCAACCATCGACCCCCGTTGCAACGCTTCCCACCCACCTCGATATCGGCGTGCTCTCGCGTGTTTTGTCTTCTTTGACCGCCCTGCCTCGCCATCGTTCCACATCCGACCTTTTTGAAGGTTAAGGCCTTAATTTCAGCGATCCCAAAGATTTCTCTAGCTTTCCTTTCCACTTTCAGGCCGTTCCGCAGCTCAGTCATCACTACGAAGCGCTCTTATCACCAGTTTATACCGGGGCTTGCCTTTAACCTATTGCATAAACCGCCTGTGATTTTTTCTTTTCCAGTTTGATCCACTGCTCGACGCCCCTCAGAAGAAGATGCTCTTCGTCTCTATTTGGTCTTCATTTGCAATAGCTTTATTCATTCTGAACTCACAAAAAAAGCGGAAAACCTATCACAAAATTCCAGATTTCCAGCCGTGGAAGGCTGTTGTTTTGATGGCCACCGGATTTGTTGGAGGTCCGTTCAATTCGTTAGTGAGTGGGTAGCTAGGACAAACGCGACCATTTTCCTTTGCTCTGCTCTGAAAGGCAGGAAGGTCGGGCTCTCTCCTAGCGATCCATACCCAAATTCATGACTATCATATCTTCGTAGTGAGCAATAAAGTGAACGGAAACTATGGATGCAACAGTTGACCAACATTCTTACAATGTGCATTATCTTGAAGAAATTTAATGAACTTCCAGGTATTTTCACTGCTTTTGCTGGATCTGGCGTTGATATTTGTATCTTTTCCATGACAACACTGTTGTTCAGAGTAACTGAAAAAACGGCGACTCCTACGACTGTGGTGCTGATGGGTATGTTTGTCTACAGTTTTCGAAATTACCACTTTGGTATAGAAACTTCTGAAAATACTCTCATCGATGTCGTGATCGCGGTTAGAGACTGAGATGCGTCGACGATTCACGCCACGAATCACGGCAAAAGACGGGATTTTAGGGTGCACGCCGCACCTCAGAGGGAAGGGCGAGTGCACCATGAGAATGCTCTTCAAAGTGTGACGAAGTGTGTCTTCAACTGTCTGCAGCGGGTAGATGATTGACGGCGGGACTGCTTCCCTGCTCCACTGTGTGCGTACTGCTTGCGCCCACATGCCGGATGGACTGAACATCGTGTCGATCGTCTGCGGAACCAAGAAGAAGATCGAGTGGCCTAGTGATCGACGAACCAAATATTGTTGTGTGCAAAGGGTGTTAAGCGAGTGCGTGCGTGAATGCGAACGTGTGATTGTGCGATTAGTTAGCGAACAGGCAGTACAGATTACATATTCATGTACTTCGACATTGAACATAGATGGACTAAATATCAATGGATTACTAAATACACGAACATACTACTAGTAGAGATACGAATACACAAATATCGAGATTAACAAGATATATACATGTAGACTGTATGAGTGCAATGGTGTAAAGAGGGTGTTACAGAACTACAAGGATGAATGAGATCTACGTGGAGAATGATTCAGACGAAATACTAAGAGTGGATTTCGAAAAAGTGAAAAATTAAATGAAACCGTATATTAGAACTACTAAGTACATGTAGACAGACTAAATGGGAAGCCTTATATTTGAGCTACTAGAGAGGTGAATTGAAATTATATTGGATATTGCCTAATAGATATATAGGCTGGTGAACCGAAACACGGAAAGCGAGTGGATGACGTGATGATGATAAGGCGAACCGGTAAACTCGAAGCTTACTGATGGTGAAAAGTAAGTTCAATGCGGTTAAGGAAAATGACAGACGACTGAGCGTGACGGCAGTGGTCGACAGACTGCTGCGCCAAGCATGAGAGACGCCAAACGCAAGCGTTTCTGGAACCTTGCACGAGCGCGGGCTTTTTAAACCGAGTATGTACCGGCGCGCGTCGCGGTTGCTTTGCAACTCTCTGTCTTTGAAGCGAACTTTACTCGAGGTTGTGACAACGGTCACGACAACCAGTTTAATCAACAATTTGTTAACTGCCTAAATACAATTGCTATCGATATGTCCTGCATTAGTACGCTCCTACTAGCGAAATTCAGGAAGGCAACTCAATTTCCAAAAATTCGAAATCTGAACGGTTTGAAACTCTTTTTGATGGAATGATTCTAGGACTTAACTCGATGGTTGGCGGATACTATCGTCTTGTGTGGGAAGGTGACGTGCCAAGCCTTGCGCTAGACTACCTCAAAGTCTCTATTCCCGTCGGTGTCACTCTTGCTCCATTTGGCAGTTTTCTCGGATCTCATTTCCATAGACAGGTTGGCAACATTCGATGGCGCTGTCTTCTGTATGTTTCTAATCGCTCTAGGTTCAGGTTCTCGCATGTTTCATATACGTACTGGAATGTCTTTCCGTAATCGGCTTTCTACTTACTCGACCTGATGTTACTTTGAGTAGGTTATTTTCAGAAAATCAATTCGATTGTTTTGTAGAACTGCGTAGGGGAAAGCAAGCACACTAATGTTTCCGGGAAGCTATCCTTCACCGTCGGTGTTCTGTAATTTTGGAGGACGGGTTGTAGGCGGAGAGTCGGAGGCGAGGCTTACCCGATCAGCCAATGATAGGTGCAGCGGGCAATTAGGAATGACGGTGGAACTCCAGTTCGAGGAGGGACACTCCATTGAACTGTCCAATACTAAGGATAACGATAGGAGATTCCATGACACGTAACTGATTCATACTTTTGATAAGGACCGATGTAGTGTGGAAGTACTCCTAAGGTGCTTTTAGAGTTCGGCCAGGTGATCCAAAAGTAACAGGGAGTGCCCCCTCCCGAACTGGAGTTTCATCGGAATGGTGATGACAGGCAGCTTTCCACATGTTCTGCTGATATTCGAGAGCTTAATAGTGCTGGATTTGTGATGGGAGCGAGGGGGGGATTGAACTGTGTCAAGTGATAGCTGCTTCTCACCGATAAAGTCGATATGTTGGAGGACGACCGCTGGAGGAAGTCGTGGAGGCGAGACACCATTATAGAGTGTAGACGGGGGGAGGTTCGCCGAAATTTTGAAATCGGCGGAATGTGACGGTTGACCCTGAATGAATATTTGAACAACGAAGATGGGCGACATCGGGCAGGTAACTGCTGAAAAGTGCCCCGTTAGCGTTAGGCCATTGTATCCCTATGTATATCACCTTGTATCGTTCCCACTCCATCCCTTGCGCAGGCTCTGCTTTTCAACAGTAAATTCTAATCAAATGCATTAGAGTGAAGACCCAACAAGCTCTGGATTTCCGGTTCAAATTTCGACATTCATATTGCCAATTTCAGTCTGTGTGGGTATAGCAATAATCTTCGCTGGATTCATTTTCTTTTCTACAATTAGCCGAGCAGGAGAACGGCTTATGGAGCGGCTCGAGGTCAATGAAGTTCCCATATTTGTAGTATGAAAGTACCGAAACAAGATAACAAATAACTGCATTACAGAACGGCTCATCTGGAAGTTCCATAGCAAAAGAAATGAATAAAATGGCATCCGCTTGAAGACAGGAGTAAATGTCTGAAAATGGTGGCGACATTTCGGAGAAGTGCATACCGAGAACCCGCTTCAGAACTTATTCTATGTACCAATGCATGGGCAAACACACGGATATGCACCTTCGCATGAAAGATGTCCCTCGATTGTTCACCCTTCTTCCTTTTTATTTGTGTATGTATATCTACTCGAGAATAAACTAATGATGGTTTTGACCACTTTGTGAATGCACTTAAAACAATCCACGGGATTATTTCACTGCCCTTTTTCGAGTCAAAACACGCGATAAAACTGGTGTTCATGAAAGAGAATGCTGGGTAG